ACGCTTTAACGCTCGACGCTGGAACGCTCCCATGTATTGGCACCTTTAGAGTTAATTCCACTAGGCCCGAAAATTATGATAGGCACGATCATCTAGTACTTTTGTAGTTTATGACAACTTCTAACGCTGCGGCACAACGGTGCTTGTTTTCATGCTAGATTGCTGGCTGGATGGAAATACTCTGTTCTGATTGGTGCATTTCTGAAGATGGATGGAAATACACCAATCAAAACAGAGTATTTCCATCCAGCAAGCAATCCAGCATGAAAACAAGCGTGTGCCGCTGGCTTAACTCAATACCGTATGCAGGATTCACACCGCGTCCGATTTCCGACGTACGATGTCCGATATCTAATAAGACAACAACTTTCTAATAGAGAATTCAATTCTCCATTGGAAAATTGTTCTCCTATTGGATATCGGACGTCGTACGTCGGACATTGGACGCGGTGTGAATCCTCCATTACCATAGGAACAACATTAGGAGTAAGTAGTAAAGAATGCGCATTCGACATCAGGTAATAATTTCGTAAACGCTCAATGGACTTAGTTCCACGACCAGCAAACAACAATATAATTTCGTAAAATCTCACGATTATATCCATATTTTTTTTAATGTGTGGAAGATTATTTGTATTTTATTAAAATCATACTTATTATAAACTATCCTGTAAGAAATCTGAAGTATAAAATATAATTTTAATTTAAAATAATATGTATCCTAATTTATTTACAAGAATTCTGTTTATATTACGAAATTATTATCTGATGTCGAATATGCGTTCTTTACTTCTTACTCCAGCTTGTTCCTATGGTAATATTGGGGGGTGTATATCAGTTGGACACGGCGCAATTGGACACAGTCCAATCACAAGTCGCTGTTCCAAGGGACCCTACAAATGTCTCTAATCACACGGTGCTGTGATTGGCTGTGTCCAAATGCACCGTGTCCAAGTGCACCGCTCCCAATATTGGGTGCTTACGATATCAAGTGCAGAGTGAGTTAAAGGAAGTAGTATCTATTCCCATCTACAACTAATATATTTTATG